ATTATACTATGAACGTAGTGGCTTTTAAGGTTATCAACAGCTGCCATTTATGCAGAGTATTTTCAAAATAAGTTCGCCATGTACCTCTCCAGTAAATTCAGCAGAACAGTAAAGTTCTGATTGTAAAACATGAGTCAAAAGAGTTTGTCGGTGTGATGTTGCGAGCAAGTGAGCTGTTCTCTTTAAGAATATATCCCTGCTTCGTAGTCTTCATTGGCAAAGAACTAATTAGCTAACTGACTAGTTTTAGTGATATTTTCATTTTATTTTATGATTATCAATAAAACTTTTTAACATAAACAAATGATTTTGTTTGTGTCTTTACAATCTGCAATGAAACAGAAAGCAATCTTAAAGGTGAAATTCGGACTAGGACATTTGTCTGGTTTACTTATATATATTTTCTTATCAAGTTCGTGAGTAAATTTTCTTAGTCTAAGTCTTAGTTGATACAGAAGTGTAGTTGTTGTAATGTTTCTTTTACAGCTTGTCTCACTTCTGTGATCTTCCAGCAGTACAGAAACGGGTTTAACGACGAGTTTAAAAACACTAAGGTAGCTGTAAATTGCAAAGCGAGGTAAGTAGATAAATGCATCCCCCTTTGAGGTGTTAAAGCTACAGCTATACCGTACGGCAGATAACAAATAACCAATGTTACCTGCACCCACAGTGCACTGTACACTGCCTTTCTGTATCGAGCTTTATTCAGTGTATTTACTTGGCTCGATTGCCCTTGAACAACATGGTTCTGACCATGAATTTGGTTATGAGGCAGAGACATGAAGATTTTTATGTAGGCACAGATTGTATTGACTAAACAAAAACCTGTAACAATATAATGGTACAATGAAAAAATAAGAAGATTCAGAAAGGGTGTAGATGCATCGGCAACGGACACAATCCAACCACCAATAGCAATTAAACGTGTTCTTTTCAAAGTTACAACTTGTCTGTATCTGAGACCCAGTAGCAAAGCGAGAAGTCTGTCCACGCTTATTGCAGTCAGTGTTATCAGCGACACTGAACACAAAGTAACACTTGCGAATATCCCTTCTTTTGTTCACCACAGAAATCATATAAGCAACATACAAAGGCTCGACAATGATACCAACACAAAGATCGGTTATCGCTAGGTTACGATACAGCAGTTTGGATGGCAGATGAATTGATGTGTCCTTGTGAAGGGCAACTAGGATCAGAGCGTTCCCTAAAAATGCTGTAATGGACAAACAGGTGTTAACGACAGAGAGAAAAATGAGCTCGCCATGTACCTCTCCAGTAAATTCTGCAGAGCACAAGAATTCTACAACTGTTTGCAGGTTTTCACCTCCAGTAAAAAAATTCATTTCCATGACTTTTCTGCGATGCGGCTACAGTCAACTGAACTCTTTTTTAAAATATCTGTCCTTCTTATATGACTGCTACACCTTGTCAGCAAACAATTAAACATTTGCTTTGTCTTTTCAGTTTATTAAACGACGGAATTCGACAATCTTGGTGTTGCCTTTGTTTTGCTGTGCGATTAGGGAGCAAATAGCACAATTGCCTGGCTTTTAGAAAACGAGCTAAACTGTTAGGAATAAAAAGTCTATTAACCGTACCAAGTCTTGATCGATAGTTCTGTTAAGTGTATATTCAAATTGAGTAGAAAACGGGTTTTCGGCAATTGCCAGAAGTTAAACTGAAGCCCGCGGCGCGCTGATAATGTCATTGCAGGCACTAAAGTGTTAGACCAGTTTGTGCACACCACTCACTATAAAGAATTGACCGAAACCGGAAACCGCGCAAGTCTCTGGCATCTAGCCGAGGTTAGCGATTGTGTAACTGCTTGAAGCATCTGACCTAATTTGTGTTCGCAGGGCGAAATATTCAATAGGCGTTAAGAAAAAGTAATGCAGTTTGAAACTCTCAAGAATAATTCTTAAAAGCGAATGTACCGTTTCTGAACGAAAAACATTCCTGGAAAAAGAGAAAAAATATCTTGCACATCTGCATAAACAATTGAAGCAAGCGACCTTAAAGGTTTGGTGTTTCACGCGTGATAACCTTGGCCTTTGGCTTTCACGGTGTGTCAGATTTCAACATTCGTTACTTTAAATGGCTACCAGCCGTAAGAAAATCTCAATCTTTAATCTCAAAGTGAAATTTTGACTTCAATACTGCAATCCCTTGGTAAATGAAATTCATTCCTAAATTATGAGCGGAACGCGCTGATCAAAAACATGAGAACAACAGGAGCCGATTAGTATCGGCTCCTGGCGCGAATTACTATAATGGCCGTTTGGCGGCGAAACATGTCACGTTCACGTGAAAGTAGACCACGCAGGTCACTGAAACAACAGATAAAAATAACCTACGCAGCACGCGCACGAACTTTAAATAGATTTAAAAAAATTATCATGGGGCACAGGGATTCTCTCTCTTAGCTCATGCATTCTCTCTTGTTAAAATGTGTTTTGCAGTTACTGGTAAAAGCTTCAAAATATCATAATACATCAAATTCATTTCAATACAAGTTAGAGGGGAGCTTATATTGGCAAGCCTGTTACTGGTGGGGCTTTTAAAAATTAAAGTTGGCGGCTTTTAAGTGTTTCTGTATTTTGTAAATTGCTTGTGCCGTTTTTCTTCAGCTTTGACTGACGTTCACATGGATACCAGCACTAAATTGGCTACATTTTCTTTAGAAGAGGAAGTCTTAACCGAGTGTCAAACTGTGTGGGCTATAACTTTAACATTTGGGCGGTTTATTTGCAATTGCTTAAATTGCTATTTCACTACGTCAAGATTATATCTTCATTTAAATTGTTTTTTAAATTTATTTCCCCCGTTCACATCATCTCCCGGTGCGTCTAATTCAGATCTGTTATACGAAAGGTAGAATATTTAAAATTAAAAACGCTATGGTGACGCTGATTTCGATTGAGTATAGTGAAACCAAAATATTAACATGGAACTTGCACCATCATTCACCATCATATTTAGCTATCCTCCTTTGTCTTACAGAAAAATTAGCTCGTCATGTACCTCTCCTCGACTCTCCAGTGAATTTTGCAGGACAATACAGTTCTCTAATTGCTTGGTAGTTTGTCATTACCATGACTTTTCTCCGAAGCAACTACGTTCAAGCGAACCTTTTTTTTAATATATGTTTTGCTTATGTGATAGCTTCATTATGTCGAAAGTCAATTAGATATGTAGTCTGTATTTTCATTTTAATAAACGACAACAGAGTTATTTGCAATCTTGTTGCTGCCGTGCAATCGGCAAAACAAGTAGCACAACTGTCAGGTTTTTAGAAAACGAGCTAAAGTGTCATATGATCAGTGATACAAAGTTTGCTTGATCGATACATCTGTAGAACAAAGATTCAAATTGATTAAAAAAGGCTTTTCATTAATGTACTACTAATCGTCTCATCGCAGCCACGAAGTCTTAACAGTTATACAAATGTTCAAAACATGGGCTAAATTATGTCTGGGTCAGTTTGTACCATATACTTACGAGATGAGAATTAAAGAGAAAAAAGTGCTTTACGTTCGTTTTTGCTGCTACTATCTCTCTTTTTAAATCCAGATTAAAGTCATTTCTTCTTAGTTGATTAACCGTTTGTAAATAATACTTGTTTTTGCTGCTTTTTGTCTGTTTTGTCCGTTTTTTTGCTTGCTTTTTATCCCAATTATACTTCAGTATGATTTTGCTGCTTATTTATTCATTATGTTTAGTCTTAGGTTAGGGAGGGAGCTCATATAATAAGCTCCAAGGTTTCCATTTGTCAAATGAGCTTTATTGCCAGAAAAATACTTTTAATTCTTTACTTACAATTTATGTCTTTAATCTTTAAATAACATTTTTGTAATATATTGACTGTCTGTATGCATATGTATTTTTTTTTTCTGGCAAAAAAAAAAAAACTGAAACAGTTTCAGAACTTAGGGAATTATTTGAATGTAACCTGTTTTTCATCATAATAATAAACATGAAAAAAATTCTTGAATCTGAGGATTGGCTGAGAGCAATGCAGATTTATTAAACACAGAGCAAAAACGAGGAAATATAACGCAAAAACAAGGTAGTAAAATGTAAATATCACATATCATAGAATGGAGTCCAGTAATCGGCTAATAACCAAAAGATATACATAACAACCACAACTCACAGGAAAATAATCAACATGTACGAGTGGGCAGTTTCTAGGGTGTAGTAAAAGTAGAGGTTTATCAACACAGGCGAAATACATCATCGTCGTTTTCGCTAAGCCATTGCATTCAGTTCAGTTGCGCTCACATATATTGCCCTTTTCGTTTGGCTTTCCAATCTTATGTTCCTTGATGGCAATGGTCCATCTTTTCTTTTTAATAAGGTTGATCGCCCCATGTTAGGGAAACCAAGACAGTCTTGGATTCTGGATTCCACGCCGCGGATTCCGGATTCCAGGTACTGGATTCCAATCTTTGTCAGTGGAACTTGGATTATGGGTTCCAAGTGCGATTTACTGCGATTCCGGATTCTTGCGCTGTATTCTGGATTCAGAAGCCAAGGATTCCGGAATCCACAAACAAAAATTTCTCGGATTCTAGAAACCAGATTCACCATTTACATTTGGTGAGGTTGAGGAAGGCCTTAAATAGCGCACTGCATGAAACTAGGGACTTTAAGATGCCACGACGACGACGACAACAAGAACGTCAAAAAAGCAATTGGTTGAATAAGTAAAACAACAACTCTGCACGTGCATCTACCTTTTTTTGTACATGTCTTTACCGTCACTGCGCGACTACGACGGGAAAATGCCTAATTTCACGTTTTATGGAGGACGTAAACAAGCGGCGGCTAAATTTTCTGTCTCTTTCTGAACTTGAATATGATTCTTAGGAATTCGGCTCAAAAAGAGTTTGCTTGCATTTCACAATGTAAACGAGTTCGAGTAATCACGATAGAGATTGAAAGAACGCAAATTCACTATTTAAGCGACGTTTTCGTGGCCGTCGCCGTCGCCTTCGTGTTATCTTAAAATAAAAATTCCCTATTAATAAATAATGAAGGGCTCGAAAAGGTCCTTGGTACAGGATGAAAATAGTGAAACATGAGACAATATATGGGGGAAGGGAAACTTCCCCCTATGGTTCTTTGCTTCATTTTTATCACTATACGGTTAAACTATACATTGCCCACAAAGTTTAAATTTCGCAGAACAGTACAAAAAAAAAAAAAAAAAAAAAAAAATTATTTTATGATTTTTTTCTTTGTTTTTTTTTTTTGTTATTTCTTGTAATTAAATAACTTTTTTTATTTTATTTATTATTATTCGTCTTTTTTTGTTTCTTGATAAAAAAATCCCAATAAAAAAAAAAATAAGGTCTGGAAAAGGTCCAGGGTACAGGATGAAAATAGTGAAACATGAGAAAATATATGGGGGAAGGAAAACTTCCCCCTATGTTTCTTTGCTTCATTTTTATCACAAAACGGTAAAACTATACATTGCCCAAAAAGTTTAAATTTCGCAGAACAGTAAAAAAAAAAAAAAAGAAAAAAAAAACAATTCTCTGATGGTTTTCTAACTGGTGTCTCTGTGATGTAACTGCTTGCAAATGAGCTATTCTCTTTCTGTGGCTTATTCATAGTCTTCATTGGGTCTTCATTGTCAGAGAACTGATTAGCTAACTAGTGTGTAATATTTTCATTTTGTATTCAGATGACTCTGATTATTAACTTGCATGTTTAACATAAACAAACGAGTTTGTGGGCTCGATTTCCGCCGTCTCCCTGGACCTGGACTGGGAGAACAATAAGAACTCGTTGTCCTTGCTTATACTACACTAACTCCAGTGGATCTCGCCAGATCCCTCTGCTTGGCAGTGATGTTTCAGTGAATCCTGGACCTCCTGCTAAACAGAAGTCCGCAGAGCGTGAGGAATTTGAAAAAACAATTAGGCGAAATCAACAGAGTGTCACATGTGGTATTTGTTTTGGCCTACGGCATATCAAATGAGCAAAACTGAAATCAATCATCAATGACTGGACGTGAGGAAGTATAGAAGTTGTCTTGCCTCGGTTTTGCCCTTCTATAGTTTTTCTATTGAAGACGAATGCAATGATCCGGCCGACGTATACGAATCTAATTTTAAAGCTTATGGGAATTACCAGTACCCCTATTTTTTATTTTCTTTCATATTTTATAGTTTCCTATCAGGTTTGTTAGTAAATGTTCCTTTGACAAGCTAAAACTATACTTTCTGGACGGCTTTTTACAACTGGTAGTCTTAATGCCATAAGTCTTAGTCTAAGTCTTAGTTGATACAGAAGTGTAGTTGTAATGTTTCTTTTACAGCTTGTCTCACTTGTGTGATCTTCCAGCAGTACAGAAACGGGTTTAAAGACGAGTTTAAAAACACTATAGTAGCTGTAAATTCCCTAGCAAGGTAAGTAGATATAAGAACAGTAAAGCTCTCTGATTGTCTTCTGGCTTTAAAAAACATTAGTCAAAAGAGTTTGTCGGTGTGATGTTGCGAGCAAGTGAGCTGTTCTCTTTAAGAATATGTTCCTGCTTCCTAGTCTTCATTGCCAGAGAACTAATTAGCTAACCGGCTGACTAGTTTTAGTGACATTTAATTTCATTTTGTTTTATGATTATTAAACTTTTTAACATAAACAAATGATTTTGTTTGTGTCTTTACAATCTGCACTGAAACAGAAAACAATCTTAAAGGTGCAATTCGGACTTGGACATTTGTCTGGTTTTCTAATATATATTTTCTTATCAAGTTCCTTAGTAAATGTTCTTCGTCTAAGTCTTAGTTCAGGGACAGAAGTGTAGTTGTTGTAATGTTTCTTTTACAGCTTGTCTCACTTCTGTGATTTTCCAGCAGTACAGAAACGGGTTTAACGACGAGTTTAAAAACACTAAAGTAGCTGCAAATTGCAAAGCAAGGTAAGTAGATAAGGGCATCCTCCTCTGAGGTGTTAAAGCTACAGCTATACCGTACGGCAGATAACAAATAACCAATGTTACCTGCACCCACAGTGCACTGTACACTGCCTTTCTGTATCGAGCTTTTTTCAGTGTATTTACTTGGCTCGATTGCCCTTGAACAACATGGTTCTGAACATGAATTTGGTTATGACGTAGAGACATGAAAATTTTTGTGTAGGCACAGATAGTAGTAACTAAACAAAAAGCTGCACCAATATATCGGTACAAAGAACTTATAAGAGGATTCAGAAAGGAGATAGATACACCGACAATAGACACAATCCAACCACCAATAGCAATTAAACGTGTTCTTTTCAAAGTTACAACTTGTCTGTATCTGAGACCCAGTAGCAAAGCGAGAAGTCTGTCCACGCTTATTGTAGTCAGTGTTGTCAACGACACTGAACACAAAGTAACACCTGCGAAATATACTGTCAAATTTGCGTAATAGCAAATATCCCATCTTCTGTTCACCACAGATATCCAGTATGCAACCTGTAGAGGCTCGGCTATGATACCAACACAAAGATCGGTTATCGCTAGGTTACGATACAGGAGTTTGGATGGCGGATGAATTGATGTGTCCTTGTGAAGGGCAACTAGGATCAGAGTATTCCCCAAAAATGCTGTAATGGACAAACAAGTGTTAACGACAGAGAGAAAAACGAGCTCGCCATGTACCTCTCCAGTAAATTCCACAGAGCAGTGAAGTTCTGCACTTGTTTGTGGGCTTTCACCTCCAGTAAAATTTTTCATTTCCATGACTCTTCTGCGATGCGGCTACAATCAACTGAACTCTTTTTTAATATATCTGTCCTCCTTATATGACTGCTACATGTACCTTGTCAGTAAACAATTAAATATTTGCTCTGTATTTTCAGTTTATTAAACGATGGAATTAGACAATCTTGGTGTTGCGTTTGTGTTGCCGTGCGATTAGCGAGCAAATAGCACAATTGCCTGGCTCTTAGAAAACGAGTTAAACTGTTAGTAATAAAAAGTCTATTAACCAAGTCTTGATCGATATATTCAAACTGAGTAAAAAACGGTTTTCGTCAATTGCTAGAAGTTAAACTGACGCGCTCATAATGTCATCGCAGGCAGTGAGGTCTCAGTAACAATGTACAAACTGTTCAAATAATGGGCTCGAAAGTCTGGGCCATTTACGAGATGGGAATTAAAGAAAATGAAACGTTCGTTCGAGCTTAAGAAATTAGAATGTAACCTGTTTTTATCACATAAAAATCAGTCATGAAAAAAAAAATTGTATTCGACGATTAGCTGAGAGCAATCACTAGCAGTTTTAGTAAACATAGTGAGAGCAAGAACGAGAAAATTTTGCTAACGGAGGTGTTAAGTTTGTGAGCCGGCGAACATATGATATGCGGTGCCGTAAACTGCCGCTTAAAAGCCCTGGGATTATACATCTTTGTAAGGGTTTTTAGAAGGGCTCTTGATAAATTAAACAGAGGGGCTTATATCCGAGGGGGATTATAACGGAATTGGAAAAAGCTGTTCGAAACAAGCTAACGCAGTGCTGATTTAAATATGTTTTGCAGTTACTGGTAAAAGCTTCAAAATATCATAATAAATCATTTTCATTTCAATGCAAGTTAGAGGGGAGCTTATATTGGCGAGCCTGTTACTGGTGGGGCTTATATTAAAGTGTTTCCGTATTTTGTAGCTTCAAATTGCTTGTGCCGTTTTTCGTCAACTCTAACTGACGTTCACATGGATACCAGGCTAAATTGGCCATATTTTCTTTAGAAGAGGAAGTCTTAAACGAGTATATCCCCAAACATGTCAAACTTTGTGGGCTATAACTTTAACATTTTGGACGGTTTATTTGCAATTGCTTAAATTGCTATTTCACTACGTCAAGATTATATCTTCATTTAAATCTCTTTTTAAATGTATTTCCCTCGTTCACATCATCTCCCGGCGCGTTCAATTCGGATCTATTATATGAAAGGTAAAACATTTAAAATTAAAAACGCCATGGTGACGTTCATTTCGATTGAGTATAGTGAACCCAAAATATTAACATGGAACTTGTACCATCATTCACCATCATATTTAGCTATCCTCTTTTGTCTTAGAGAGAAATTAGCTCGCCATGTACCTCTCCTCGACTCTCCAGTGAATTTTTGCAGAACAATACAGTTTTCTAATTGTTTGGTGGTTTGTCATTACCTTGACTTTTCTCCGGAGCAACTACGTTCAAACGAACCTTTTTTTAATACATCTGTTTTCCTTATGTGATAGCTTCTTCATGTCACAAAACAATTAGATATTTGGGCTGTATTTTCATTTTATTAAACTACAGAGTTATTGGCAATCTTGTTGCTGCCGTGTAATTGGCAAAACAAATAGCACAATTGTCTGGTTTTTAGAAAACGAACTAAACTGTCAGGATCAGTGATACAAAGTTTATTAACCGAGTCTTGATCGATACATCTGTAGAACAAAGATTCAAATTGATTGAAAGAGGCTTTTTATTAATGTACTATTAATCTCTTCATCCCAGCCAGGAAGTCTTAACAGTTATACACATGTTCAAAAAATGGGCTAAATTATGTCTGGGTCAGTTTGTACCATATACTTACGAGATGGGAATTAAAGAGAAAAAAAATGCTTTACGTTCGTTTTTGCTGCTACTATTTCTCTTTTTAAATCCAGATTAAAAACATTTCTTCTTAGTTGATTAATCATTTGTAAATAATACTTGTTTTTTGCTGCATTTTGTCTGTTTTGTCCGTTTTGTTTTGCCTTCTTTTTATCCTAATTATATTTCAGTATGACTTTGCCGTTTATTTATTCATTATGTATAGTCTTAGTTTAGGGAGAGAGCTCATATAATAAGCCCCAAGGTTTCCATTTGAGCTTCAACGCCAGAAAATTTTTTCCAAATTCTTTTATATGCAATTTACCTCTCTTTAATCTTTAAATAAAGTTTTTGTAATAGATTGAATGTCTGTATGCATATGTATTTTTTTTCTGGCAAAAAAATACACTGAAATTAAACTGAGACCGAAACAGTTTCAGAGCTTAGGGAATTATTTGAATGTAACTTGTTTTTCATCATAATAATAGACACGAAAAAAAAAATTCTTAAATCTGAGGATTGGCTGAGAGCCATGTAGTTTTATTAAACACAGAGCAAAAACGACGAAATATAATGGAAAACAAGGTAATAAAATGTAAATAATATATATCATAGAATTTAGTCCAGTGATGAAAAGGCGCCGCCGAGCTTCACATCTCGGTAGATTTACTTTGTAGAGTAACAGCCGCCGAGCTACACAACTCAGTAGATTTACTCTGTGGCACTACGGGCGCCTAGCTACACAACTCAGTAGATTTACTTTGTGGCACAACGGACGCCGAGCTAAACAACCCGATTTGATGCATGCACCAGGAGTCGCACGCATTTTCCAAAGAAAAATATGAAGTTAATCCAAAGTAAAATTTCACTCAGGGTGTAAACTTTCAGCAAACTTTTGAAAGATGAACGCTTTGGAAGAATCATTAAACACAGATCGATAGTAGACCTTCAGCAAACTCTTAAATATGTAAGCTTTACGATGAATCAGCACCGGCTTTTAAAAGATGAACGCTTTAAGAAGACAGAAAAACAGACCTCAGCAAACGTTTGAAAGATGAACGCCGAGGACACACGAATCACCACGTAAGCAAGCGCCTCAAAGCGAGGCAAATGTGTGTCGACACAAATGCAATTTCGAAAAAACCTCTCTTATCAATTGCACAGGACACCCAACAGAAATTAGGGGTTGCGTTCTCGTACCTCGAAAGCAATGATTGAACTTTAACCCACATATAAGAACCGGTTTGATTTTGCTTGGCTAAACAGGTTCTTTTATGTTTGGGAAAATTAAAGTGGACAATTTCTGCCAGCAGGTTTTTAAACCACTAGGTTCTTACACGTGGGTGTTTTTTGTAACACAACAAAATTAATTTGTAAATTAAGCCACTAACTGAGTCACGTGAAATACCGCTGGCCTGAACACAAAACTGAAATTCTCCAGCGAAATAAATTCTTCTTGCGGCTTTCCCCATTTTACTGGAGTTTATGATTGTGTATATCGTAATGGTCGCTTGTATAAAAGATGATTCAACTAAAACCGTTCATTTCTTTTCGGGGAGGATTTTTCCGTAAAGCAAGTTTTGGTTTGGAATGAATTTATAGCTAAAAAGCATGCACAGTAGACCATGGTAAACTAACCGCTCCATCGACGGACGAGGTCGCCTTAATGTTTCTTTCACAGCTAATTTCACTTCTTTGATCTTCCAGCAATAAATAAAGGGGTTCAGTGATGAGTTTAAATAATTATACTAAAATAATTGTAAATTGCCAAGCAAGGAAAGAGGATAAATGCATCCTTCTTTGATGTATGAAAGCTGTCGCTATGATAAGTGGCAGATAACAAACGACCAATGCTGCCTGCACCCACAGTACACTGTACACTGCCTTTCTGTATCGAACTAAGTTCATTTGAATTGCTTGGCTTTCTCCTTTTAAGGGGTGGATCCGATGAATTTGGTTGTGGCGCAGACGGAACAAAATCTTTGAGTAAGCGACGATTGTGATGGCTAAGCACAGCGCTGTACCTATGTAGTGAACATACTCTCGTATAGCTGTTGAAGCTGGTACGCCAACAACAGAAAAAAAATCCAGAAGGCAAGTATAGCTATGTATGTCTTTTTCACAGTTACAACTTGTCTGTATCTGAGCCCCAGTATCAAGGCGAGAAGTCTGTCCACACTTATTGCAGTCAGTGTTAATAAAGACACTCCACAAAAGGTATAAGCTGCCAACTGGGTAACCATCAAATGAGCCAGATAACAAATAACCAATTTTCCCGCCACCACAGAAATCCAATAGGCAACATGGAGAGGCTCCGCAATGGTACCAACACAGAAATCAGTTACGGCTAGGTTACGATACAGGAGTTTGGACGGCGGGTGAAGTGAAGTTTCTTTGTGTAAAGCAACTAAGATCAGAGTGTTTCCCAGAACTGCTGTAATCGACAGAAGGATGTTTACAATTGACAGAAAGATCAATTCGCCTTGTACCTCCGCAGTAAATTCCGCAGAGCAGGATAGTACTACGATTGTTTTCTGGTTTTCACCTTCAGTAAAATTCTTCAGTGTCATTTTGTCTGCGATGCAACTACGCGCAAGTGAGTGCTATATTAATATACCGATATGGGGCTCTCCTTTACTGTTTTACCTTTTATTATCAGAAACTAATATTAACTAAGTGCGCAGTATTTACTTATTTATCACTTATTTGGCTCACCTTAGAGGTTCCATTTACAATTGCCTGGAGTTTGACTGACGCGTATATTGCCTGGACGCTAAAATCTTAGTGTTCAATATTGAAAAAGCAATATTTAAGAGAAAGTGTTATTATTTTACCTAACTGAACTAATGACGGATAGTTTTAATAATAACGTGACGGTTCTTTCGGTATAAAATAGAGAACACTTCATGGAAAGTGTTGTCGTACGGTATTTACGCACGAGTTGTTGACGTATCAGAAATAGAACGAGTGAGCGCAGCGAACGAGTAAGATTTCTGATACAAAAACAACGAGTGTGTAAATACCATACAAAGAACTTTCCATGTGGTATTGTGTTTAATATACATACTGAGACATTCATCATTTTGGCGGCCTTTTTATTTTAAATCTTTCAAAAATGCTAAAATTTGCTGCTACACACTTACCGCAAAATGACAACGAAAACGAAGTATCAGCTTTTTAGTAACAACGTTTGTTAAAAACATAAATGACGGTAAGGATATGAGGTAATTCAAGAACTATAAGAAATCTTAACTGTTTGTTCTCAATTCACAACTGAAAATGAGTGAATTTAAGTAAAATGGCCGGTTTCAATGTAAGCTTAAGCTTAAATGAAAGGCAAAGTAGCTCCGACAAAAAGCGCAACAAAAGCTTACGTCTCGTTCTGTTTTTCCCTTTCCGCTGTTGTTTCGCCGGCTCTCTACCGTTTTCTTTATCGACGGTGAAACAAACGAAACTATTCCACTCCATTTCCGAACTGTTTTTCACTTTTTTAGCGAGAAAAGCTCTTTGAGTAAAACTTTTCTCGTTGAATGTGTGCAAAGTGGCGCTGCAAGCTGCAATAAAAGGCGGGAATTTTGGCGCGAAACTCGCACACCTCTGTGGCTTCTGATTGGACGTATCATTTTTCTCACACGTGAAAAAACATCGTTTGCGATTCTAATTGGACGTATCATATTTTTCACGAGTCAAAACCATCGTTCGCTCCTCTGATTGGCTAGAACTAATTTGCGTACGAAAATTTACGACATAGCTTTTTAGTGAGTATTTCTCTGTGTGTATATAATAACACCTGTTACTTTTCTTGATGCGTGTTTATTTGTCCTCGCCATTTTGTCTGCGATGTTATTGAACGAGGCGGAAGTGAGTGGTTTATAGTTAAAGAGAAAAACACTTCTTAAACGGTGAAAGGTGATATCGATTCCTCATTTTACTAAACACAAGAGTAGCTCGTGTGTAGACTTCTCCTAAATTCTCCTTCTAACTGAAAGTTTTCCTGAATACGAGAACTGGAAAAACTTTCGAAAGCGTGCCATTCAGTCGACATTTCCGAATATTCCGGTAACACAATCAAGTGAAAGTTTAAATCCCTCCATAATTGTCAAAAATATGAGTTATCCTTCTTGTATATTATTTTCCCGGAAAAATTTCGAAAAGCCTTAAAATTATACTGTTTCTCCATGCATTCGTTACATATAGGGATTTCTAGCAATTCTAAATCGAAATTCACTTTGTTAAACTGAAAATTTCCATATTTATTAGCCGATTATGATTTTTAATTTAGCTTACGACTGAAATTGTTTTTCCTTTTCTTTTACCCGCTGAAGGTTTGTCTTCCAGACTAAAATATTGGGTAATTTTACTGAAAGTATATTTTTCGTTTTTCTATCTGATTTTAATTATTCCTTCATCGCTTCGTTGCCCTCAGGATCAGTTTGCTGTTTATATATTTCTTGCATACTGCCAGCTGACTGCGGAAACCCTCAGTGAAGCCCTCAAAGGGGGTGGTGGGGGTGGGGGAGAGGGAGAGCTTATTTATTTCAAACATGTTTGATGGGGGGGGGAGGGTTAATTGAGAGGTGGGCTTGTTTAACTTGGGGCTTTAGATATTGCCTCTTCAAATAACTAGAAGGGGTGACGAATGGTCTTTGCGAGCATTCGCGAGTATGTATGCCTAGCACTGCGATTTTTTTGCGAGCACGACCAGAAATAAAATATTTGCTTTGCGAGCTTGCGAGCAACTCCAAAAATTTGGGGAACACGAGCAAGCGAGCACTCGTTTAAATTTTACGAGCAAATCCAGCAAAGGTAAAATTTTGCGACCAGTTAAAAATTTTAATGGACCATTCATCACCCCTACTAGAGGATGGTGTCGTCAGTGGTATGGTCTGGTTCAATTCTCCATGAATAACTAGTGGGAACGCTAAGTGGAATATCTCAAGCATCTGTAGTTGGAAGTCATGCCGCCCTATTAGATAAATCCCAACTTCCAGCCCGAGAATCTGATGAATAAATCATACCGGATCAGTCAACATGAAGTGTTAAAGTAGTGATTAGTCAATACGAACAGTCCGTATACTGTGTATCATTATTCATGATAAATTTCATTTGGACCAATGAATAAGGGGCGGGGGAATTGAAAAGAGGAGCTAAGAGAAGGGGGCTTAACAGAAGATTTACCGGTTTATGAGTGTGTGATGATATATCAGTGCGAATTTTTATTAATGTTCCAAGACGCTCTTCAGAGTCAGGTAACAGAAATTGGCCGTAAAACAACTTCTGCTCTGGGGCCACAAAACACATTGTAAACAAGACCAGGGCGTAATAAAATTTGGCAAAATTAAGTCCCTGGTTCTAAGAAAGGCTCGGCAGGGTCAGGATACCAAAAATTGCCGTAAAACAACTTCTGCTTTGGAGCCACAAAACAAATTGTAAACAACATCAGGGGGTAATACAAAATTAGCGAAATTAAGCCCCTGGTTATGAACACGCTCGACAGAGTCAGGAAAGAAAAACTTGCCCTAAAACAACTTCTGCTCTGGGGTCACAAAACACGTTTATTTAGAACAAAAACCTGTGGGTTTTGCTTAAAACAAAAACGAAAGCATAAGCGAAACAATAGCTCAGACATGAAAATGCAGCAATTATGATAACACGTACCTTAAAAAACCCAACGGGAATAGCAGCATGCAAGTAAAGCAAATTCATGCACTGACTGTGCATGAATAAAACTAGGAAGCGCGAATACTAAACAGCATGGGACAAAATAGGCATATGAAACGAAAAAAATTGAAAACCACGCATGTGGAAATAAGAAATCGCGGACATACTGCGAGAACTGAACAAGAACTGACTGCTATCCCGCTAGAGCCGCTGAATAAGATTGGAGAAATACCGAAGCCAACAAATGTACGTCTCACGGGATCTATCAGAAGGAAATGATCGATGAAACTAAGGAATTGCAACCTGAAAGATAACTGGTACTGTGAGGACAATATAGGAAAAGACGCGGCTCGAGGGGTAGCAGCCAAGATACCCACCTGTAATCCGACAGGGAATTAGACTCCCTTGTAAGACTGAAATCCCGGGAGCGGCTGCAGAAAAAGAATAACAAGGAAAGGATTGGAAAGAAATACAACCAAAGCAAAGAATAAAACTAAGAAAACACTGCAAACAAAAGGGAAAAAGTGCAGAGAATACTCAGGCTGAATACTGACCTTGAGAATATATGTGACCGGACCGAATGTCGAACACGTGGCAACCTATAAAATCTAGGTTGCAAAACAAGATACTTACCGCGAGCATAGCTTAAGAAATTGAGGAGGATGGAAATAAAAACAGGAGGCAGAAAGGAAGCGGCGAACGCCAATGAAAAAACAACGGGAAAGGCGAAAGGGTGAGGAGGGAAGGAGTTTGACGAGCACGTTTAATGAGGCCATGATGAGACCTGTGTGTCTTGTCTTTAAGATGATGATGAATGTATGGTGTATGTCATATATAGTCGCTTGGGCAAGATAATGCAGAAAGGCACTAACCTAGTATGCAGAAAGATACTGACTAGACACTTAATTAATTGGCAGGAAGGCACTTTTTCCCAACCCATTTTCCCTAGGTTATAACAATGGGTGACGTCATAAACTCGACCCTTATGCATATCAATGATTTACCTCGACCTTACTCGACACTTACTCGACACCAAGGAGGCTTAATTCTGACCCTCTATGACTATTTATGCTACTGTATTTTAAGTCTATTTTTAATTTTAATGATACACCAGTGAGCAACACACGTACACTTCCAGTGAACATTTTCACTTGTGCATGGAAGACGGAGAAACCATGTAAATTACAGTACAATTCCCTGACGGTTTTCTGGCTGGTGCCTCTGTGATGTAACTGAGTTCAAATGAGCTGTTCTCTGTATCTTATTGATAGTCTTCATTCATCGTCAGAGAACTAATTCGCTAACTGGTGAGTAATATTTTCATTTTGTATTCAGATGACTCTGATTATTAACTTGTATGTTTAACATAAACAAATGAGTTTGTGGGCTCGATTTCCACCGTTTCCCTGGTCCGGTCTTTGATCCTCCCCGAAGGGTTTTTCGGGGAGCGGGGTAGGGGGGGGGGAACGGTTATCTATCCTAATGAGTTTTGTTTTTATCTTTTAACCTGCAACGAGACATGAGAAAATAATCTTAATGGTTCAATTCTGAAAGATACAGGACATTTGTCTGGTTTTCTAAGTCGAGCTATGGTTAACTCTTGAAACGTAAAAATGAGGGGGGTGGGGGGGTTGAGGTCAATCCCCTCGTTTTTTTTTTAATATTATCAAGCGTATTTTCTCTGGGCTGCTCTCCATTTCAAAAGCCATGAAAGCTCTTCTTTTATGTTTGAGACACATTTTGTATTTGAATTTGGTGAAAAATAAATGACAAGCGAGGTGCGGTTCTACAAGCTTATAAAAAAAGAATGAAAGTTCTAATTTTAAAGCTTATGGGAAGTACAGTACCCATATTATTTATTTTCTTTCATATTGTACAGTTTCTTATCAGGTTTGTTAGTAAATATTCC